TTTTTATGCTTCTTCCAAAGGTGTTTGGATGGATTTTGATTGCTGGTGTCTTCACCGTGGCCCTTCTTGCTACCTGCATTGCTCGCTGCCGCTCTCCAGTCAGCTTTCTTCAACTTGCCTTCTGGAAAGTCTACCTGCAGAAGGAGCAACAACTTTTTGACACCATGGCCAAAGAACACGCCTTGAAGTTAGCAGAGAGGAATCTTAAAAGCTTCTTTGATTCTACTGAGTTGGAACCACTTCAAACCCCAAGTGTCAAAGCCTGGGATAACATTTCCTCCTTGTTTGCCTTCAACCCTAAAGACAGTTACTACAGTATGATCCATAAATATGTCAGTCAGAAATCTCAAAGTGGTAGCATTAAGTCTGCTGCAGGAGATATATACCCCAGTTGCTTGCAGTTTGTAGATTGTGCAAATGTTGAAGCCCAAATATTGTAACAACAATTGTAATCTGAGAAAATGAGTCAGACAAGAGCCTCCCTAGCCTCATAAAGGTGGAAGGGGAAAACCTATTTGCCTGCTAGAGTTTAATATTGTAACCTTCTAATAAAAGTAGTACCAGCTTTTAATAAAAATAGTATTAGCTTTCAAAACTTTGGTTTCCCAGTCTGGTCTGTTTTGAAGGGCTGACAAGTATTAAGGCTTGTTAATAGTTACATTGTGCCTTATTTCATTACTTCATTACATGATTCTTATTGTCAGGTTTTCATTTAATAAGAAGCAAAACGTCTACTCTGTCGTGAATTTTGTCCCATGTTTTTTCTTCTCCAAATATAATTTTTATTAAGAATTTTAATTACAATAGTAAAAAATGAATACAAACTAAACTTAGAGAAAGAGAAGAAAATGGTAAGAAAGAAGAAAAAGTGCAGGAAAAGAGAAAAAGAAAGGAAAAAGAAGTATATAATATTGAAAAAGAAAATAAATATATGAAGAAGTGACTTTCAGGCTTGATTGCAAGTGTAAACAAATTTAATAAATCTTCACCCTCCATAAGGCTGATACCTCTTCATCCCATATCCCATCCCTTATTTATAAGCAAATCTATAAAGCATTAACTTACAATCCTGGTGTCACCAAAAATCTATAAAGGACTGCCAGAACATGAGGGGGGAGGGGAGAGAGAAAGAGAGACAGAGAGAGACAGAGAGACAGAGACCTATTTTAACTTTGATCAAATAAAACAACTTTATATTCCTTCCTTTTACTTCTAAGAGTAAAATTAAAAATTTATTTCTTAATCTTTAATGCAATGAAATACTTTTGTAGGATTTGATTTCTCTTCAATTCTTCTATACCCCATGACATAGAGTTCTTCAAGTCTCTTTTGTAGATTTTGTAGGAAATTTTCCAGGTCATAAGCCAAGAGGGAAGGAAATCCCGGAGCGCATCAGGCAGGGATCAAGGTTGTCTCCAAAGCAAAGTTAGACCTCAGCCCTTGCCATGTTTCAGGTTTTCCAAAATCTTGCTGGTCAGGCAGAATAGGAAAAAATTGAGTTGGCATCTTAATGTGGATGTGTTGAAAATACTAGGAGTTAAGTATCTAATAAAGAAAGTAACTTTTACTTATTTTTTAATTGAACTTGATGTGCATAATCGTGGTTTATAGGTGAATATTTCTCCCAGTAGGATTCTCAACATGAAATATATTACATCAAGCCAGTTAAAAGAGCAGTGTGGCAAATGAGTTTAGGATTGCAATTAATACTCCTTAACATTTAAGATTTAAAATTGCTATGTAACTTATCAGTAATATTTGAATAATATCAGTAAAAGTAGGGGATAGTTAAATACAGTAGGGGGAAAAGTCTCTCTTTTACTTTTACTTTATTTTTACTTTCACATACTTTCATCATCATGCTCAAGAGAATATTAAATGAATTCTCTTAATGTGTTAATTTCTCTAAGTAAAGCAAGCAGGATTGTCTCACCTTTTCTTATTAAAACAGGCCATCTAGCTCAAAGGGAATTCTTTATTTCAAATATTTTTTTTTCCTAGGAGACTTCCACTCCCAAACCATTGCATTTCTCAAGGATGTCAATTTATTAAATTTATTTAATAAATATTTAATATTCATTAAAGTAATATTTATAGCAGATTCCTAAGTTTGTGGAAATGAAATAAGGAAAAAGGTGAATCCAATTTGAAGTTCTGGGTTCATGGCACCATAAAGCTTGAGAACCTCCCTGTCAAATTAGTGTTACTGCAGCTTTTTGAAGACTTGTTCACATGTCCTGGTTATTAATGACATTGATCTTTATACTTTCAAAAGACTAACATCATGAATGATTGTTACAGCTGGTTGTTACTTGATTTAGCTAACACTATGGGAACTTGATGCTACTGTATATTTTCTAATTTCCCAAGTCTGTAATAAAAGACCCTCAGCTAGGCTTCCAGAATCAAAACAAATACAAACATTAAAGTTTTAGAAAAGGTCTGAATACTAACCTATAAGCTAGCATTTCTCAGTTTCAGCAACTTTAATATTTGTGGACTTTCACCCCCAGAATTCCCCAAGCCAGATGCTGGCTAGGGATGTCTGGAAGTTGAAGTCCACAAATATTAAAGTTGCTGAGATTGCTATTGCTATTCTGTTAAGTCAAATTAACTTAAAAAGAGAAGAGCTACTTGACACATAGCAGGACTATTTCTTTAAAAAAATCTATGACAGGATATAATATTGCTTTTATGACAGGATATCCTTTTCAAATTGTTCAGGGGAAAACAAGCTGTGTCTCAAAAAGCACCACTTTGGGTCTTACAAATCAGTGAATGTTATATTGAAAGAAGAAATTATTTGCTTCAGACAAAAGCCTAGCTGGGACTTCAGAAAACCAGGCTCCCATTTTATTCTACCCTCATTCCTTGTTATAGGGCAGGGGTCTTCAAACTTGGCCCTTTTATGACTTGTGGACTTCAACTCCCAGAATTCCTCAGCCAGCATGCCTGGCTGAGGAGTTCTGGGAGTTGAAGTCCACAAGTCATAAAAGGGCCAAGTTTGAAGACTCCTGTTATATGGGTGTAGGTTAATTGAAAGGTTATTCTGCCTTTTTACTATAATGGAATCAAAACAGCCCAAACCATCAAGTGAACGGATAATTTTGGTAGTTGCATTTTGTAAATCTGCTTATACTACTGCTTTTGAAATACGGCAACAAGAAGAGTACTAGCCTAACTAAAATAATCTCTCAGCCCCCCATTTCTTTTTCCCCTTTCCCATTTTCCAGTCTAAAATCTATTTTTTTTTTTCAAATTCTGCACTGGTTATCAATTTGTGCATATTTCAGTTATCAGTATTTTTCTTAATAAACGTTTGGTTCGAGAGACATTTTGGTATGACAACTGGCATACTTAAATATACCTTTCAATAAACTATGAACTCAGAAGATAAATATTAACATGTATAAGAAGCTGCAAATTGGAGTGGTTTGCACTAAAATGCAGATTAAATGCCTTTCCCCTAACTCCAGTTTTATCTGATGAATATCCCAAGAATATAGAAATCATAGATGCAAGAACTGAATTTTTCTTAAGCATATTTTAGGATTCAAGCTAAAAGTGATAACTAGAAAAAAGGTCCACCCTTCTTGGATTCATAGGAGATGGACCAGCAACAGAACTTCTCAGGAATAGTCCCCATTTTGTGCAATATTTTACCCCTGGAAATATGTGTAGGTCCAACTATATTCCAGCAATTCTTTTGTCCTTAATGCTATTTGAGTGACCGTAATAACTTGAGTATCATCATTATGTTAATTGTTTTATTGATTTTATTGTTCTTTTACATTTGTAAACTGCTCAGATCCACTTGGATTAAAAAGGCTTTATAATTTTTGTTAAATAAATGGATAAAGAGGGCAATTATATTCATCCGTCCTTCCATATATTGCAAATCAGGATTCTTGGAAAGTGAAATTTCCCATGTGTGTTTTTTGTTTTTTTTGTATAATACCCCAGGAATTAGTTTTCAAAAACCTAGAATTTTTGCTCAGGAAGTCTTTGAGAGGATTATTTCTCAGAAGCCATGTTTCTGCTAAATTTACATAATGAAAGCTACAGTCATTTCTTAGCTAAGTCTTGATCCTCCTTTTGCTCACTGAATGTTATGTCAGGAGAAGACATTAGCAAACCTCTATCTTAAATGAAGGCAATTATTTAACAAGTACTTTAGCTTTGACAGAATAACGATCTCCAAACAGAAAAATATATTTTACATTCTCATATAATTTCTTAAGTTCATGCACAATTTGGTTCAGATAATGTATTTACATATCTCATTCACCCTTTCCATTTCTTTAAAATTATACACATCTTAAAATCCAAAGCATAAACTAAAATGTAAAAATTGGCAAGTCCTTTTATGAAGAGAGATAGTCCAAGCAGAAGCCAGTTCCCTCAGAAGCCTGACAAAAGATGTGGGCACCATTTTGATGGTAACCCAAGAAATGCAAGCATCAAAGTGAGGATGCAGTCAGGGGTTCTGGGAAGGGAAAGTATTAGGGGGGTCTATTAAGTATTTATTACATTTTGCTTCTAAAGCATCTTGAACTTATTTTAGGGCTGCATTATCTTCTTCTACACTGCCTACCTTATGACATTAATTTGGGGAAGGTATGATTGCAGGAAGCTCTAACGAACATGGAAAAGTTTGGTGGTTGTATTTAGTCCTGTTTACTATATTTCATGGACTTCCCTTGTCTGGCCTGAGAAAGTTCCCTCAGGCAATTCCTCAGGAGAATTATCACTCCTAAGAAAACCTTGTTCCTCACAGCCTTGCACTGAAATTTACCTCACTGAAATAGATGTAGCACAGCTCCAATATGAAGCAACATGCAAGGATATTTTTCAGGAAGCAGAGATTCTACAGACATTCACCATCCAATTCCTGGTAATAAATACATTTTGGAGTACTACACATTCCCTTGGGGGGATTGTATGCTAATTTCTTGTTCCTCCAACAAGATTCTGGGCATGCATGGCCTGGATTAGAAAAAATGTTTGTTTTTAGTCATGTTCTGGGTGGATGGTCCTTCCTGAATTGGAAGGTTCCTCTTTGTAGGCAGCTGCAAAGACTTGGCTGACCCTAAGTACATAATTACTTCAGATAACAGTTTCATTTATTTCTCTTGTATTTCTTGGTTTCAGCCTTCTTCAAGAAAGTGATTCGGATTTCTGTCACATCGTCTCCTTTCAGAGTGTCTTGAAGGAAAATCACTTCAGCTGCTAGGTGTATCTGAAAATAAAAAGTTAATAGATGTAACGGGGACTTAGATTTAGAATGGTAGGAAATCCATACAATAATGGGGTATTTTATTTATTTGTTAGATATATATTCTGATATTCCACCAAATAAGGTTTGGAAAAATAATAAGGCTTTTACCTGGTGCTGAAAACATGGATGCAGGCCAAAATGTGATATACTGTATGTATACTGCTAAATACCCATATAATATTGTGCTTATTGGTTTTACCTTCACCTTCCCATTTTTTAGGGCACCATTTCTATATCACCTATATGAGATCCAGTTGCAAATCTAAGTGCTTTTAAGTATACAGGTCAATGACACCATGAGAGTCATTCATTCATTCATCATATTTATATAGCCACACATCTCACAATCAAGTGACTATGGGGATATAGATATAGTGGCTAGGGCTTGTTTGTTTTGTGCCTTTAAGTCAGTATTGACTCCTGGCAACTGCCTGGACAGGTCCCTGCAGTTTTCTTGGCAAGATTTCAGAAGATGTTTGTTACTGCCTTCTTTCTAGGACAGAAAGAGTAACTCGATGCATCCAGCTGAGATTAAAACTTAAGGTCTCCCTGTTCTACCACCCCTAACACCAAACTGACTCTCAAAAGATAAAACACCAGACACAAATCCCCCACACAGAAAACATTTGTGCAGAAGGTCTTTGAAAAGCATCATATAAGCTTAGAAGGACAATCAACCTTATCTAGTCTGTTTCCTCAATGTCAAATTTACAAAAGGCTAATAGCATCGGTAGGAAAATTTGATGGATTTGCACATGACACTAAGCTTTTAATGTATTTTATTTGTTTTGAGTTTAACATTTTCAGTGAACCCTGACAGTTTTGGTTTATCTAATAAATCATGGGTAACAACTCATGGCTAGAGGCATTTATGTTCCACAGTGGTTAAGGCATAAGGTCAGAAGCTGGAAGACTCTGAGCCTTAGAAACAAAGTCAGCTGAGTGACTTTGGGACACTCACTCTCAGCTCTAGGAAGAAAGCAATCACAACCACTTCTGAAGATCTTGCCAAGAAAAGCGTAAGGACTAATCCAGGCAGTCACCAGGAATCAACACTGACTTGAAGGCACACACAAACACACAAAATTGTGCACCAGCCAAGGGTTATCTGACTAGGTTTGTACTATATACTAAACAATAAGCCATGGTTACAAACCATAATAGATGAATTTACAGTATACAATACGATGATCCAAAATTATGGGTCAGTATAATCACACCATCAGGCTGATCACTTACCCCCAGGGGAAATGGGGGGGGGGGCTGACAACAAAGGCCTTGCAAATGTCACAATGCACATTCCATCTTTTATATAGCTGTTTACAATGCAAGTACCAAATGCTGGAGGTTGTCTCATGATGTCAGGCACGTATATTGTCACTAGGGCAGCATCATGGTTAGGAACAAACAAGTATGAGTCTGTTCTGTGTATTGGGGGGGGCAGCATAGAAAGAGCCAGTATTCATTTTCTCACCATTTCCAGAGCCCCTCTGATGGTCCCAGACAGCAGGCTGCAGTAACAAAGAGATGATCGATTTGCTGGTAGCTCTTCCACAAAGTCCACTAAGGGATTCTTGGCCAGAATGAGAGAAAACTCATTTCCCATTGCATTGTTGCAAGTTACAGTAGGGGTGACACCCAGATACATCTTAAAAGCAACCTGACAATGGAATGGAAAATATGCCAAGTCATCATTGGGTCAAACCATAAATTATCTTAAATAGTTTTGGGACATTTGTTCTATTTATTATAGGTATGAACCATGATTTTCAATCAATCAGAACAGAGTAGGAAGGGACTTTGGAGATCTTCCAGGCCAGCTGCCCCCAATCTTTTGGGCAGCAGGGACCGGTTCCATGAAGAAAGTTTTTTCCGCGGACCAGAGGGGGCATGGTTTTGCATGCTGCCTGCATCCTGCAGATGGGGCTATGCTTGTTTGTGCGGCCCGGTTGCTGACATGCCACGGACCAGTGTCGGTCCACGGACCGGGGGTTGGGGACCCCTGTTCTAGGCCAACCCCCTGCTCAAGCAGGAGATCCTATACCATTTCAGACAAGTGACTGATACTCAGACAATCTCTTTTTTAAAACCTCCGGTGATGAAGCACCTACAACTTCTGATGGCAAGCTGTTCCACTGGTTAATTGTTTTCAGTGTTAGGATGTTTCTCCTTAATTCCAGGTTGCTTCTCTCCTTGATTAGTTTCCATCTATTGTTTCTTGTCCTGCCCTCTGGTGCTTTGAAAAATAAGTTCGCCCTCTCCTCTTTGTGGCAGTCTCTCAAATACTGGGATTGGGGATTTTCATTAAGGGAACTACTGAATGCCAAGAGGGTTAATGTTTACAGCCTCCTCAGCATGAAGTTGACAACACTTATTTCTTTATTTGCAATAATTTTAGGGAGGGGGGATGGGGAGTGATAATTCACACTGATGCCAGTGGGGGCTCTTCTCCTCTGAAGCTCACTCTAGAGCAGCATGTGTATGTGATCATCAGGATTTCAGCTGGAAAGAAACTAATTCACAATCTGAATGAAAACAACTCCCCTGGTTACTGCATTAAAAAAGAAAGAAAAAAGAAATCGAGGCACATTTATTGTCTATGTCTGTTTAGAGTCATGCCTCTTTCTGGAGTTCTGCACAAAATAGACAATATGTTTTGTTTTAGTTCTCAAACCCAAACATCCCATCTGGGGTGTTCTATGGAAACATTTTGAGTTTGTTGCACTTTGACAAGGCAAAATGTAAACCAATTTAAGCATTCCATATTCCAGTGAAGCAAATATTGGAACACTTCAAATGTCTGAATCAAAAGAAACAATGGGAATAGAGAAAAAGATTCTTACTCCTTTCTTTTCACCATAGGATCACAAGAACAGAGAGGGTAGCAGTTCATGCCGAGTGCTACTATTCAACCAGTTTGCAGAAAAATTGGCAGGAAGAAAAAAGGGGGGAAATGATGACTCCTATCATAGAGGCATTGGTTTGTGATCCTTCTTATCCTGCTTCTTTGGCTTCAGAGAATTCTTCCTTTAATCTGGGCTCTGCTAATTGTAAAATTGTTAGGAGATACTAGTAGGTTGGCTGTCTTTAAAAAAAACCTCATAGAGACCTTAATTTTATTAGATGGTCTCACAGTATCAATTTCTAAAACAATTATCTTTCTTAGGACAGGAGAAGATTGTGTACGAAAATAAATTCTTGTCAGTCCATTAGCGCAAGGGGAGTTTCTTTCAAATTAGATTCTACATCTAACATTTGGTCGGTACTGAAGGAGGAATTTCTAACAATTCTTGTGTTCTTTAGTGTAGTGTTATCTACACTATCTTTCCCCCCCCCAAAAAAAGATTCAAGGACATCAATCTCCACTTATCCGAGTATAGGTAGTCCTCGACTTACAACAGTTCCTTTAGTGACCATTCAAAGTTACAATGGCACTGAAAAAAGTGACTGATGACCATCCTTCACATTTGTGATGGTTGCAGCATCCCCATGATCATGTGATTTACATTTGGGTGCTTGGTTCATAGTTATGACGGTTGCAGTGTCCCAGAGTCATGTGATCCCCTTTTGCAATCTTTTGCCCCATTGACAAGCAAAGTCAATGGGGAATCCAGATTCACTTAACAACCGTGTTACTAACTCAACAACTTCAGAAAAAGTCGTAAAATGGGGCAAAACTCAATTAACAAATTTCTCACTTAGCAACATAAATTTTGGGTTCAGCTATGGTCGTAAGTTGAGGACTACCTGTATTCAGTTTGAGGTCAACTTCTGCTGTTAGCATATTGGGGATTGTTGAACTTCTCTTCTACACCGGAAATCTCTGCTGAACCTTTGGTTAAAGAGGGAGTGAATTTTATAATATTGGATATATGCCGAAGTTGTCTCTATGATGGTTAGATCAGTTCTTAGTTCCTTAACATCATCTAGACCTCAGTCAGGAAATTTATGTTCAACACCTAAAAAGCCAGAAGTTGAGTGGTATCACTTTAATTAGGTCCTTGATTGTATCTGGATTTGAGTTACAAATCCTTTCCAGTTATGTTAATGCAATCATTCAGTATTCCTGCTATCTCCTTAGTTGAAATCACAGTATTGTATACATAGCTGCACTTGTGTAATATTCTATTTCCTCTTAAGGTCTGAGAAGTGACTTATCTTCTTTATTAATGTTACTTCCCCATGAGTCCCATAGTCCCACAGAAGGCAGTGGAGCTGACTGTTGTTATTCGTCAGCTCTGTGACATGGCTTAGTTATCTTCACATACAGGTTTGTGTGGTTTGGACTTTGATGGAACATAATTAAACCATCCTGGATCAATAGACACGGCCACAGATTTCTAAACACAGCAATACAGTATTTGCAGGCTAGCCAGATCAGGTTCATTCTGTACAGTGTCAGGGGATTTAGTTGCCGTTTAAAACTCAGTAGGACCCTATCCTGTTAAAAGGCACCAGAAAACCATTCTACTGATTTGAAGTCATGGGAGGTGGTCCTAGACAATCTAAAACAATTTTCAGGGAATGAATTATGCATGAGCTACTTGGGTTGATAGACTTTATGTCTGTGTTGTTGAATAATCTCTAGATTTGGAGTGAGGCTTTTATACTCTTTGAAGACTTCTTGCTGTCTGCCAAGTTTCTTCAAAATATATAGGCTCCTCTAAGAATAGAAAACATAGTATGTTGTTTTCATTAATGCCTCAGTGATGGCCACTTTGATGTTCTATCCTAGAAGACAAACTACTTGCTGCCTCTTCATCTTCTCTTTTGTTTTATTGGAATTGGAATGTAGTGGCTTCTTCTGGTATACCATTTTGACCGCTGTCAAGTTTTCAACATCCACTGAACTCAAATCAGCACAACAGGGAAAATTACAATGGTTAAACTCCAGCATGACTTGGACCATAAGCAAAACCCCAAATAAATCAAAATAAACAACTAAGCTTTGTTTAATGCTGGAAAGAACAGCGCTTAGAAGAATCATAACAAAGATATTTTCTCATCATTAGAATTTCTTCCCATGCTCAACAAAATCCTTTTTCTTAAAAGGTCTGTGCTAAAAACACAGAGAATTAAAAAAATACATTTGCAGCAAAATATATCATTGACTGCATCAACAAGTGTATATACAGAATGCAGACACACCTAAATTAAGAAAGCCAATTAGAATGTGGTCATTTGCATGAAGGTGTCCACAAACAAACAAACAAACAAAAAAAACATAAGAGAATACAGACTCCAAAATATCCAGTGTACAACAAAAACCAAGATATCAACATAGAAAACTTTGAGGAAAGCTTAGTTATGTTTCTGTACTCTGTGTATGTTGCTCGTACACACCAACAAAGCTCAACAGGCTATTCAGACTAATCAGGAATCAAAAAAAGGCAAGTCTTTCTATGTCAATGCATGTACCTTTTTGACCCCTTCTCATGAAAAGTGCTGAATACGATTGTATATTTTGCTTTTATATTCCATATACGATTCTTTTGAAGACCGCACAGGCTTAAACTCACCCACACAACATTCACTTTGCCCATAGTAATCTCTACCCAAAAATCAAAATAGAAGTGACTTTTGTAAAGAAATGATTTGCCGAAATAAATAAAATAAAAAATGGCATAGTGAGTGGAGGATTGATCAAATACCTCCCATTACAGGTAGTCCTCGACTTACGACCACAATTGAGCCCAAAAGTTATGTTGTAAGTGAAACATTTGTTAAATGAGTTTTGCCCCATTTTACGACCTTCTTGCTACAGTTGTTAAGTGAATCACTGTAGTTGTTAAATTAGTAACATGGTTGTTAAGTGAATCTGGCTTCCCCATTGACTTTGCTTGTCAGAAGGCTGCAAAAGCTGATCACATGACCCCCAGGAGACACTGCAGCCATCATAAATATGAACCAGTTTGCAAAGCATCTGAATTTTGATCATGTGACCATGGGACACTGCAACGGTTGTTAAGTTGTGTCATGCCCCCATCGGAGCCTGAATCTGCAGAGGAAGATGAGGCGGAACTGGAGCCAACAGAGATCAAGGGGGAGGAGTCACTGGCTTCAGAAGAATATGTGGAGGAGCAGGCCGAGGCAGGCCAGGGCCTTTCAAGATTAGGACGGCTTGAAGGCAGGGAGGAACAGGGGCAGGATGAACATGAGAGACAGAACTCAGGAGATGAGCAGGCATGTCAAACTCGCGACGTCACATGACGTCGTGCAATCTATTGTGACTTTTCCCCCATTGCCGGCAATGGCGTGGGTGCAGTTTCAGCGTGACGCATCCGGCCCATGGGCCGGCAATTTGATATGCCTGTCCTAGAGCATGGAGAGTGGAGAGAAGGAGGGAACAATGCAGGCAGGCCCGACTACTCGGGAGGAGAGCGCCCCGCCCCTCTCCACAAGGCACACCTGAGGACTGAGACTTAAGGAGACGCTGTGGGGAGGGGCATTTGTCGGGAAGAAATGCTGAATTATTGGAGGTTTGTGTTCCGTTGTCAACGTTGGAAACAACTCTCTGATCTCCTGTTCTGTGTTGTGATTTGTACTTGTAAACCCTGAAATTCTGACCATTGGACTAGCTGACAAACTTGATTTGGTGCTCCAAACCTCAGATTGAATTTTGGCTTTTCTTTTGAAACTACTCAGGCAAGCTTGTATTTCCACAAACTCCTTAGAGTTTGATATATGTTCCTGAAGGCAAATGGTGCAATCACAAGGCTAAGATAGCCCTTCCCAATTAAATCTCTTTCAGATGCCCTGGATTATAGTTTCCAAATTTCCCACCAATAGTTCTATTAGCTGGGAATCACACAAATTGGAGTCTAACACATGTAAGAAAGGGAACATAAGAGAGATCTCTGGGGCTGAGAAAAAAAATAGGGATATCTAAAAATATCACTAATGATGAAGAGATGGATGTTTTAATGTCAATCCTATTTGGGAAAAGGGTGGATAGCCCTTTGGTCTTCTATTCTGGAAAAAGAGGTGCAAACAGCTCTCAGAAACCCTTAATTAATTCATTCACTAATAAATGAGTACTAAAGTTTGGGCTTATTCAGTTTCCCTGATTCTCTATAGTAACCCTTACCTTCTTCACAATAAACCTAACCTTGTGAAACTTTCTTCCTGGATTATAGTCTGCTGTTAGGGGTCCAGATTGGAAATAAAATGATAAGAGTGGATTCAGCCTTGCAAAATGAAGGCGAATCATCTTTGCATACCTGGGCAATTATGTCTGTAGTTTCAGAATAACTGCGGCACTTTTTCACAGCAGAGCGAGCCAAGAAATCTTCAACCAATCTGATGCCGATGTTGTATCCCCTGACAGAGCAGAAAAGAGAGAGAAAAAAGGTGAAGAGGTGTCAGGTGGACTTCCTGACAGTTGATATGAGTATAAATTGGCACATGGCACACATTGTTCCAAGCATAAAGGCCGGATAAAACTCATATATAAGATGCTGTGTATAGATAAGATGCCATGGCAATTTTTTTACTAGGGGATTTTGTTAACAGAGCATATTGAAACATTGTCTTTTTTATTATTGTTGTTCTTCCTGTTAACTATTTTGTCATTAATATAGTATATAGATGACAGGTCAATAATTTGCAAATAGATTTACTAGTTTAAACATTTGGGAAGGTGTTTCACAAGGGATGGGGACCAATATTGTAGTAATGTATTAATCAGTATTCAGTTAGGGGGATAACATGGGTGTATGTGTATGATTTTTTTCCCTTTTTAATGCACTTTATTAATGCCTTGTTTTGTGGGTTTTTTTGGTCTGTTTTTGGATTTTTTGTATTTTAAAGTTCTTTTGAATAAAATAAAAAAATAGTAGAAAAAAAGCAGGATATAGGGTTGCCAGGTCTGCTTCCAAAAAATAGTGGACAAGGGGGGGGGGTTAAGTAGTAAAAAAAAGTAGACTGTACAGCTTTAGATTACGTACCATTTCATCATAAAGCTTTTGAATAAAAAAAATGTCCACTATTTTGTGAAAAAAAATAGTGAACATAATGTGAAAAAAGTGGACTGTCCACTCAAATAGTGGACACCTGGCAACCCTAGCAGGATAAAATTCATAATGTAAATAAAATAATGGTTGCAATATTCTGGAGAAGAGGTCTGTTGTCTAAGCAATGAAAGAGTATGACTCCAATTTGAAGAAAACAATATTTTCTGGAAGTTGAGGCATTTACTGTTCTTTAAATGGGAGAAGAAAGATCCAAAAAAAATTATTCATTTTCTTTACTCTACCCATGACAACCATGGCTAAAAGTACTGGAAGAAACATCAGGTAAAGGAATTCAGCCAAAGCGGCTTCATTATTTCCTTTCCTTTCCTTTCCTTTCCTTTCCTTTCCTTTCCTTTCCTTTCCTTTCCTTTCCTTTCCTTTCCTTTCCTTTCCTTTCCTTTCCTTTCCTTTCTTTTTGCAAAACAAGTCCCTTTCTATAACTTTCCCCCACAACATCATGGAGGCAGAGAAAGAACATTAGCATATTAAATGTTTACTTTTTGGCATGAAGTTCAGAGAAATTTTCATTCGTCAGGACCTTCACTAGTTCAGGGGGCACAGCCTGAAGATTTTTGCACACTTCTATTGGCCAGCTGAAAGCAGCACTGATTGGCTTTTACTGATTACTGATCTTCACAGCATTCCAATCTCAGTAACAATAGAGAAGATTGGATGGGCAGCTTCAAAACAGGTTGGAGAGTAGAAACAGAATCCCACAACTGTTTCCCAAGCTGATATCTACATCCACGTAAACAGACTGGAGAACAGAGAAAAAAATAACTAGTTGATTTTCCTCAAATTTATAAGTCAATGTCATGCTGCTTCTTGCCACCTTATACTTACATGCTATCCAAATATTTGTTCACATCTTCATCCTTTTCATAATCCTTACACAGCTGGGCTACCAAAGCACCGTAGGTGAGCACAAAAAGCTCTCTACTCTGTCAATCACAGGAAATACCAAATGAGAATGGAAGAAAAACATACAATCTTCTACTCAAAGAGCTCTAGGCTATATAAGTATCTTTGAAAAAACAGAGACCCCAGACAGAAGCTAGGTTCGCATATAATACAGATCCAAAAAGTGGTTTTGCTTTGTGACATTGAATGACCCCCATGATTGTGGCTTGTTAGTCAGAATTTATTATTATTCAGTCTGAATGTGACTCCAGCCACAGGGACCTGCTTTAGTGCAATATGTTAATCCAGGCAGTGTCCATTGCCCAACTGCACTTGTGCTGAAAAAATAATACAACCATATCTGCCAGTATGAATTCCCCAAATATCCCAAAAATTAGGATAGACGCATTAGTCAGTCTGCATACCATGTGATGAGCTGACGCAGAGGATGAAATGGTGGGCAAATGCCAGTCCTATAACATAAAAAGAAGTAAAAGAAGAGGGAGCACAAAATATATTGATTTTTTTTTAAAAAAAAATTCTTTTACTTTTTAAAAAGCTATTTATGATGAATTGAAAAGGCAACTCACTAATCAAAAGAAAAAAAAATAGCAATAAACCACTTAGTGAGAAATAATACCAATAAGAAGCACAAGAGAATTTAGCTCTTAACTGGAATTAGGAACTAGGTTTGCACCAGAATCAATTGTGTTAAGGCACCAGGCCCGAAACCAGGTGACAGTGAGTTCTAGTCCCACCTTAGGCATGAAAGCTGGCCTGGTAACTAGGACCAGTCACTCTCTGTCAGCCCAACTCATCTCACAGGCTTGTTGTTACGCAGAAAATAGGAGGAGAATGGAGTGTTAGCTACATCAGTCGCTTTGAGTTATTTATTAAAATAATAAAAGTGGGATGTGTAAATTAAAACCTAAAATATTTCTGTATACAATATTGCTACAACTCAGATGATGCATATTTTCTTTGGGCAATATACCAGTAGTGCCGTGTTTCTCAATCTCAGCAACTTTAAGATGGATGGATTTTAAGACGAAGAATTCCACTAAGACTGAGAAATAGTGCTATGGTATGAGTTTGCATGGGTGATATTTGCTTCTATTTGAGAAAAAAATGACCCAAAACTTTAAAATACTGCTGCTCCTGGTGCTGCCACCTCGTGGCCTAGAAGAAAAAAATATGAAGACTTGTCCAGAATATCAGGAACTGAAATTATTTGAGAGGCCAAATGACAGCATCTTCAATAAAATTTCTGCTTAGACACATATAAATGCAGAACATGTGAAATGTTCGGGGGGGTGGGTTGCCTCACTGAAAATTGCCTCAGCTGAAAACCAGCTCCTTACAAAACATCTTATCATCTTAAAGACAATTCAGTATCAAACTGATTCAAAGAACTAGCAAAGTTTAAACATAGAAACAGGTGCAAGTCAGAAAAGTCAAAACAAAATGTAAACCAACAACATCTTTTTCTTTCCCTGATTCTACTTGCACTGGGCATGGCTGAGAGATTAAATCTTAGTGTTTGCATAGTTAAATATATTTTAATGAAATCACATAACTTGTCATGCATTCAACAAAATATACTGTACTTCACATCCTTGCATAACCAAAAGGGAAATTTCCTGGGGATCCTTGGAAAAAGGAAGGAAGGAAGGAAGGAAGGAAGGAAGGAAGGGAGGGAGGGAGGGAGGGAGGGAGAGAGAGAGGGAGGGAAGAAGGAAAGAAGGAAAGAAGAAAAGAAGGAAGGAAGGAAGGAAGGAAGGAAGGAAGGAAGGAAGGAAGGAAGGAAGGAAGGAAGGAAGGAAGGAAGGAAGGAAGGGCTAATCTAGGTAGAACAAGGAAGAAATTATTTCAGGCATCTATTGTCTCAGACTTTTCTAAAAGAGTAGCATTCCAGTCATGAATGCCAGTTATTGTTATTATTATTTAGCATATGATGAGAACACGACGGAAGAGAAGTAAACAAATGCACACAACCCACATAATTTTATACAAAACTTCTACAGGGTATGGCAGTGGCCTCATAACTGATGGACACCAGTGGTTTTGTAGGTCTTCTATAGATTCAATTTTGTGGAAAATCATCCTAGCCATAACCACAAGCACTGGAACTGGAAGTATGGTCAAAAAGAGTTCTTTTTTTCCTATTCACCCCATTTAAAATGTAAACAGTGAAGACTTCGCTAGTATATTGAATTCACAAAATGCATTCAGTAGGGATAGTGAAGAATACCACCTTAAAATAACAAGCATAATAAAGTTTGGTATACAAGCAAGTCTTACAATTTTGGCGTTCTCTGGTCTTCTGTTTGCTGGATGTGCCATTCTTCTTGGACAGTAGGAAGATATCTTCAGTACTGTATTATATTCCTATTGACTTAGATAGCATTTTTCTCTGCTGCTTTGGTTGCTTGCTACTCCATTTCTTCCTCAACCCTGGTCCTGTTGCCCTTGCTACAGCCTGGTTGTAGTGAACTCTGATGCTACGGATCCTGCTTTTTCTGATGCTCCTCCTCTTCTCGGTAAGCCTGAAGTCTTCCAACAGAAATGTGTTTGGCAAGAAATCCAGCTTACTTCAGTAAACAATCTGACTCAGATCGTTAACTGATCCATTAAACAAAACAGCCTGCAAATTATATGTAAAATAGCTATCTCTCTGCTTGAAGCCTGCCACTGAGGGGGATACTTTCAGAGAGGCTTTTAACAAGGCTCTGCCTTGTTCGTAACATTTTATGGCAGGAGCAAAGGACAACATTATCTACTCTCCATCTTTCCTCCCCATTTTCCTAGGTGCTTTTAGGGCAAGCTTTTATGGCACATTTGCCCTAATTTAGTACACAATGAGGATGTCAGATGAAAGCACCTTCCATTTGTAAAACCTTGCTTCTTATTGCATCGCTTTTTCCATAATCTCTTTCTTTCCAAAGACTACGTGTCCATCAGAGACAAAAAGGCTCAGTAGAGCTTTAGACCACAAAAGCAAACGCTCCTCCTTTTCAATTTCCACTAGACAATTCATGACCCCTGGGTTACTTCAGAGATATTTCCTTACCAGATTCCTCAATGCCTTCGACAATGGCAGAGCTTTTAACACACTTGAAAAGTTCTTAAAAATGCAGGGAGATATTCAGAGATGTATGCGCCTTGAAAGTAGCTCATGTTGAATTGTATAGCACAATCAAACATCAGGCGTTGACCACAGGAAAAAGTTTGTGATATTTTGTGTTATGTCACAAAATGCTTTAGAATGTCATAAAGTGTTGTATAAAAGTTTCAACTCCACGGGAGTCCTGGGTCCTGGATTTTGGAAGCATTCTGTGAGTTAGTTCCTTTGACGTACCTTGGTTCAAAACGTTTTGCTCCACAGTGTGCCATTTTGTCCAGTTAAAGATTACAGGAAACAGAGTTTTAATAGTATATAGATAAAGAAAAGCCATTAAGGAAAGGAAGAGAGGATGTTTTTTGACTAGTAACATCAAGGAATGCACCCTTAGGGAATTGCCCTAAGTTATGGGAGCATAAGCTGAGACACCAGAGCACTGAGGGCATAGCCTCAAGGTTCAATCTAGGAAACGACTCACTGAATTTCTCCAAATATTCTGCCAAAATATAATTTTTAACATGGCAGAGCATGATTCATGCATGGCAAGTGATCAGTTATTTAAATAATACACTAAACAATTAATTATCTACTTAACTCAGGGATTGCAAAATATTACATTTATTCAGCCCCCTGGTAATGAACAAACCCGGTTTGGTGTAGTGGTGAAGACACAAAATAAGAAACTGGGAGATTCTGAGTTCTTGTCTCCCCCCCCCCCCCGGTTAAACACTAGGTGATCTTTGGCCAGTCACTCTCAGCCCTTGGAAGGAAGCAATGGCAAACCACTTCTGAAAATACCTTGCCAAGAATATCAGTTTAGGCAGTCAACAAGAGTCAACACTGACTTTTTAAAAAAAAAAATAGTGATTGTATTAAAAGTTATAATTACAAAGCTATCTTCAAAAATATATTTTTAATTGCTTTTTAGTTAGTAGGAATCTTTGGATTGATAACTTTTTACAGGACTGGGAGACTTTCCTCCAATCTTTAGCAGAAAAATTTTCAACTACCAACAGGAACCAGACTCAGAGGAAGGAGCGAACCACAGTAACACTCTGCCCCCAATCTCCCAAATTGATCCAAGGTGCCTGTATCAAAAATAGGCTTATAAACAATTTTAATTATGATCTTCTGAGAAATCACAAGAAAGGCACCCTTTTCCAGGATGGCACAAGGTGACCTCTGTAGGAAGGCCACATGTTGCATCAGCTGGGCACTTTTTCAGAAAGGTGATCTGAAAGGTGAGATAAGTGGAGCACAGTGTGATGAAGCGATGCTATGGGACCTAGCTGGGCAGGAAACAGGCCCAAGGCTGTTGCACCTCATGGGGAGGGTTGCTATGCAAATGTGCCTGTGTGGGCTTGGGCCTGAAATAGAGTGTGGGCTTCCCCCACCCCAAGGCACCCCGTGCTCTGTTTAATGACACATGTGGTTGCTTAATATTTGAATGGGGAAAGCTGGGATTGCAGTTGTTGAGCAAGGCAGTCATGTGGGTGCCTCTCTTAATGACAGCAATGACCTTATGATTATAATTCCTGGCTCAGTTGTGGTTGTAAGTCAAGGCCTTACCTGTAACTCAACCCTGAGCTAGAGACATTCTTGTCTAACAATAATGTAAAAGTGGGGCAGAGAACCAAAGTAGGGCCCCAAACATACCATATTGCTTGTTCTTGTTCATTGAACTAGGCTGGGCAGCAAAATGTATGGCAAACCAACTGGAGTTTCAGCAAAGGTCTACAAAATAAAGATGGTAGGCACAATTGCATAACTGAAGCCACCTTGTGCCCTTGGAGAAGAATTTAGAGAGGGAGTGAAGCTTCATGAAGTTGCTGTCACCTATTTAGGCTTTATCTCACAGATGCCCCTTTTCCTTTCTGATCAAGATCCCAGCAGAATAGGGAGAGGAGGTTCAACATTCCCTTCCTAGCCACAATCCTGCAAATAATTGCCCTGTTTTACCTAAGGCCAATGGCTACAAAGGCAGGATTTTTGTAAAGCTTTCATTAAAAACACCCTTTTATTCTAGGACTCCCTACCTCCATGCTTTAAAAAAATGATAGTTGCCCATTTTATAATGAATGTTTCATGAAGACATATCCAATTTTTACACAATGGACATTTTCTGGTTTTTAGAAGTATACTGAATCTGCTTTTAAGGGGGAGTACGATGTTAGAAAACAAATGGACCACATGGAGACTACCCTCCCGTCAGCTGAATCGTATCTTTTAATGTTATCCAATATTGCCATCTGGCTGCTTTGAAGTACCGCTGTGATTTATTCCTCTTCAATCTGAAAAAGATCTGAAAGACAGGGAATTGGATATATGTCACGTAGAGTTTAAAATGGATTGTGCCTGATTGTAGAATCTTCTGAATGTTTTCATTACTGAGGGAATAAGGCAGTGTGCCTATGGGGAAAGTTAAGTCTGTCATTTAAATCTCATTGATTTCAACAAAATTAAGACATGACTTAGTTCAGATCCAGTACATTATCTGCCACTAAGTAATATGCCATGATGTTCCCAAGTGCCTACAGATTTTCTCAGATATTTTATCTTCCATCTAGCTGAAACACACTAGAGTTGGGAGGAGAGAATATATTGGTGATTAGAGGAAGATCAATGCCATTACTATTTCTTGTTTAGTTTTATTGAGGTTATTATTATGTTCCTTGTATTGATTTTTAATTTGTATACCATCTCGATCTTCTGGAGTGACGCAGTTTATAAATCTTACCAATAAATAATAAGTGCATTAAATAGCTTTCCCTTCTTTTTGTTAGCAGCTAATTGTGACAATTTCAGTGAACGGTAGCTATAGAATGAAAGAACTATTGTTCTTTCATCCTATATTCATGGATCACTGTATTTTTAGGCGAAATTTCAAATCAATGCTTTCATAAGCATAAACTAAAACTATTACTCTGGCTTTGGAGCTAGCCCAAATTGTGATCAGATGCATAAATCAGTTCTTCCAAGTGGAATCCTGTAAACAAAACAGCATTACCTATGCATCACAGGAGAAATATCAGCAGATTCAGGGAAGTTTGCAAAAGTACAATTAATAGTATCAAAATGCTTAGAAACAAAATGCAAGATAAAAAAACACAAAATAAGCCCAGATAGAATTAAAATGCTGACTTGCATGCAGTGTTGTGATTATTCTGGAAACTGTTGATCTAATTTGTATAAGCTAATATGCATCAGAAAGAAAGATACATTTTCTTGTTCATTTTGATTGTATTTATTAAAACTGACCAGCGAATTCCTTGTGGCAATATAATAGGCAATTAACCTGCATTGTTTATTAAAAAAAACTAAGGTACACTTAAGTGAGATTCAGGCAATGTTATTTTACTTTAAAAAATTAATTTTATTTAACATCATGCTTACCATTAAATCAAAAACAAAACAAAAAGTACTAAAATCTGATATAATAATAAACTCTAGGAACCCAACCATACATAAGGTGGAAAATATTATGAAGAAAAAAAAAGCCCTAGAAAAATATTGCAAAAAGAAAATTTTTTCCACATTACTATTGATGCTGAATGTTGATTGATTGAGCGAGAGAGGAAGGGAAGGAAAATCAATTGAAATTGAGATTATAATGAAGTTTTGTGAAAGAGGGCATGGTTGACTGACTTGGTTGAGTGAACAAAATCACACTGCAAGAGGGAAAATAATTTATAAACTCAGGAACACCACTTTCTGCCACTCTGTTATCACGTCTTTGATCACACATTCATGCAGATACTTAATGTCTATGACTTTATTTATTTACGCTTAGAAGGCTGCCCAACTCGCAAATGACTTTGGGAACTCATAAGTTTAAAAGCAAGGCAAATAATTACAAAAATATATATCCAAACATATTCATTTCTTTCATGAACTGATCATAGGATAGATTTCTTACAATCCACTGCATGTCTATACAAAAATAAATTGGGTGAGGTAAAATGTGTCTAGAATTACACATTTTTTACATTAATTACACAGAAGTAATTACACAATTACTTCTTTTTCACTCATAACTATTCCTTCTATGATCTCTCTAGAATATTATGCATAGATTTTATCTTCGCCTCTTTCCTCCTTGCAAAATTGTATTTGATAATGGATTAAATCATAATTGTGAACTGTCAATGGGACCTATTAAGCCAAATATATACAATGAATGAATGAATGAATGAATGAATAAATAAATAAATAAATAAAGTCTACAACAACATAATGGCTGGGCTCTCATATTGTGCTGAGACATGATGTAGTTTGTTTTTGCATGTTTGTCTGGGGGCA